CCTTCCTTTAGGATCTGATTTCCCGCTCTGATACCTCGGTAAGGGCTCTGCAGGTGCCACCTATCAACAGACAACTGCTCTCTGAGCCTGGGACAAGGGCTGTGATGTTAGCAGTTGGTTGCAGGGCAGGATACCTTCTGGGACGGGATATTTTGCTTTGCAGAAAATTATATTTGAGAAATGAAAACAGGGATGATTAAATCCCAATTTTGAGCATTTCTCTACTTCTCGAAAGATCAGAAGTGCTTTTGTTGCATTGTGTGTAGCAAGAACTGCTACACAAATTGTAATGTACATTGTATATGTAATAGTATATTTAAAGTATTTTTGCTATTAAGATTGATTAGTAATAATGTGGTTTAATTCGTCTCTTACATTTTTGCTGCTTTAAGATTTTGATTACTGACTTGGTGTTCTACCTGGGTTTTTATAAACAAATCTTCTGACTTGCTATTGATGGCAAGCAAAAGGTARTAATTGAAATTAGAGCAGAGAAGAGATAATAGGTGAAAATTCCAGACACACAGCTCTACCATGATAAATTGTTTTTGTTTACGGTCATATTTCTGACCTATTACTTCAGGGGAGATCACTGAAAAAGTACGGTATGACTGTTCTCAGTCTGTACTTCCAAATGAAGTTATTAGAATTATTAGAATTTTGTTTGCTGAAAATTATCAGTTAAAATTTAAAGTTTTCTTTGAGATTTTTTTCCCTAGTACTACAGGTTATAACTACAGGTTATAACCTAAGTCATGACTTCAGTCTTTCCAGTTTAGCCTTCCRGAGTTAGGCAAAATAGATTTTATTTTTCTTTTCCTTTTTTCATGCTCTGATAAATTTTGAAGTCTCATAGTGACTGGGAATTACAGCTTGTGTACTTGAATAGAGCCAAAAATTAAAGGTTACCAAGTGAAGTTGTATTTAACTCTGAGTTTGCATTTAATTAATTTCGCTTTTTATTTATAGAATATTAAATATTTTCTATTTGATAATGGGAACAAAGTCAGCAGCGCTTCTAATTTCCATTCCATTTTATGACTCTYTCTGCAAGAAGAGGGAAGAAGGAGCTTTTCTGTTCTTCTGGGCACCCRAGTGCCTTTGGATGTAATCTCAGTCTTCATATTTAGATCAAGTGGGGAAGAATCTTTTTGGATCACTTTGCTTTTGGCAAAGGGATTTTTAGTGTATTGCTTTTGAATATTGTGTGGTCATTTTTTTTAATCTATTTATGCTCAATGCATATTACTGATGATAGCCAATTTCTGTAGCTTTTATGAAGAACAAGAAAGGTTGAATGACAAGAGGGTTTTTTGGTAATTAAAGAAGGTTTAAAAGAAATTCACCTCTAAAAGCCTGCATTAACTAATGAAAAACAAGCAAGTTGTCAGTTAATTTTTTTTTTCTGTCTGTGGCAGTAGAATAGTTCTGAAGAATTTCCCCTGACAGTAAATTCTATCAGCAAGAGGCATTGTTTTTTAATTGATCTCAGGTGGTTATTTGCTTATGATCCTACCATAAAGGCTTAAAACACGCTTTTAAATTGTCCTAATACATTGCATATTGCATATGTGTATGTATAATTATTCCTGAATTCTATTTAGCCCTTGTTCTACTGTCTTATGTTGATGAATTCCTCAAGTTTGGGTTTTTTTTTTTTTTCTTTTTCCTTGTGGTATCTTGTAGGTTTAATGTTATTCTTCAATTTATTGACTATATCCTTGAGTTATTTTGTTCAGGCATAAATTAGATTGTCTACGTTTGTATCATATATTAAGCTGTATTTCTGTCGTATCCTCTTACATTTGGTTCCTTTCTATTTAAACAAGTCTCTTGCAGCTTGGTTCATGTGAAAGGTGTTTGAGTTCTTGAGTCACTCGGTGCCTGTCCTTGGAGTCCTCCTGCTTGTGCTTTTTTGCATTTTTTTCCCCTTTTCCTTTGGTTTGTGTGTGTTGGGGGGGGTGACATTTTTACACTGAGCTGCCTGGGTTATGGTCACTTCCCTTTCCAGGGTAGTTGCAGTGACAGTGAAATTCTGAGGGGGACGAGTGTTCCGAATCCAGTGTAATTGCCTTGCATTAATTTGTATTGATGCCTGCCATCATTCTGCTCGTTCTTTCTTCTGTAGCTTTCAATTATTAACATTGTARMATTTTCATGTCATGGCATTTACTAATAACTATTTCTCATAAACTTTCATGTGTTATTTTGATCTTGGCATGATGTTATTGGATATTTCTTTCTTTTGGGCAGTTTCTGATCAATGAAACTGTGGCCCTGGATGAGGCTATTTTTGTTTGTTTTATTAAATATGCAGCTAAACATTTTACACATATTTTTCAAAAACTCGAATAGATTAGAAAGTTACAATGCCATTTATTTACACTTCATAAATTTGTCTTTATCTCTTAATGCTCTTAGAATTTTGTAATTCTCTAATTATTTTGTTCAGTTTCCTTGTAGCTTGGAGACCAGTGCTCTCAGATTTTTGATTCCTAGAATTCATTCCACTATTTTATTTATGGAAAGAGCTGCGATGTTTGTTACCTTCCAGCACCTCACTACTCTCATGGAGTAGTTTATTTTGAAGAAAAGTTGCATTTATTGGCAGCTTGGACCTTTATCTTGCCTTTCTTTCCACCACCCCCTGACCACCCCTGCAGGAATCTCAGGCATGTTTCCATATCCAATAGCAGCTCATGCTGGTATCTATAGCGTCTGTATCTATAGCGTTTAACCAATACATATTTAGAAAACTTTAAGAATAAATCAGAAATATTTATTTCTATATATTGAAATTTATTTCCATTGGAAAATAAAAAAAATGTCCAGAATGGTCACTGGAATTTTTTTTCGGGGTTTCTTCCCATGCCTAAGGGCTTGGGCATGTTCATAAATTTGGCAATTGTGCCTGCAAACCTAAGTACAACCGTACTNATTTTATTTTATTTTATTTTATTTTATTTTATTTTATTTTATTTTATTTTATTTTATTTTATTTTATTTTATTTTATTTTATTTTATTTTATTTTCTTCACAACATTTGTCATTATCAGCAGGTACTAACAGTGCATTTGTTAAAGACATGTAATTGATGTCTGACTAAGAAGCTCACCTTGATTCTGAAGAATGAACAGGGAAATAGTGTCATGGTTTGTTCATTGAAGTCTGGTTGTGTTTCTGTCCTGCCCTGTGCTGAAACAGGCCTGTTGTTGCCCTCCAAGCTCCAGCAGTTCCTCAAGTCAAGAGTTACTGATTTTTCAAGAAATACTCATTCAAAAAGAAAACGAGAAGTAGCCTCTTAGTTTTACTTTCATTTTGTTTCTCTGTGCATCGGTTTTAGACAATTTTCAGAGGCCAAAACAGAATTCTGGTAAACTTTTTGAAGGAACAGGACCTAACTGGAGCGGCCTTTCTGCTCTCTTGACTTCACTGGTGAGGAAAGATCAGGTGAAGTGGAGCTGTGTTCCACCCCAACACTGTTCAGAGAGAAGTGCCTTGTGCTCTCATCTATTTTTGYCTTCTCCCTGCTCTGTTACAGCATGAGGAAGAATCTTGTTTGCGATATGGCTCTGGCTCATGGTGAGGGCATTCTCCTCACTGCGGAGGAATGCAGGGAATTTAGGAAGCTGTGTCATCTCCTCCTCCCTGCTGCAGAGAAAGCCTTTCACCATGTTCTGGAGGAATTTTTTAAAATGCAGTGGGGAAAATGATACCTTCAAGTGGCCGTCTCTTTTTGAAGAGAGTGTTGAGAAAGTGGATTAGTGGCTGTAACATCACTGCTCACCTATTCACCCTGAGAGAAGTGAGCACATATATTAATGTCCTTGTTGCTTACATTGCCCTCTCCAAGGCAAAACGGATTYTGAAGGATTATTTTTTCCTATTCTGTCTTGCATATAGAAACTTGCTGATGAAGAGGTATAGTTAAAGGGGGGCTGAATTAGAGAACAACCTAGGATGTTTCCCCCATGCTTCTTTCCTTAAGGAGCAATGTTGTAAAATAGACACATCTCACGGAAAAAAGATTATGACTTTTAGAGAGGGTCTTCAAGGACCATAGACCTCGGCTTTTCCCATCACAGAGATTGTTTTTATTTCCTTGGAAGCTTTTGGCTAGGGTTTGCAAAGAGGTTAAGGACAGTCTCACAGGTGATCTTAATAAGAAAATGAAACTCCAGGCAGCCTCTGTGTCTCGTTACATTGCCCTGAGTAGAACCTAATAGTGAATTCCCCTTGTATTTGTTGTTTTTCTTGCTCTCCCTCTTTGAACTCTCAAGGTTATTCAGTTATTTTCCTCACAATTTCATTAGGAAATTTGCCAAAAACATCCTTTCTAGGCAGCTGTCTCTGGACCTTTGGAGGCCAGCACTAATGTGCTGCCAGTCTGTAGGGGGTGTTTGGCACAAAATTATCAACTGGGCGCTCGGTGCTTCAGCAGAGAGGCAAGAAGGGATCTCAGACACTCCTCCACACSCAGGTGCTCTGTGAGCACCGAGCGCTTTTTGTCGCTCTAAGAGCGTTGGGAGGCGCCTGCCTCTTGTACCTGCTTTGTCCCCCTGCAAGGTCTGTCGGCAGCAGCAAATTGTCAATGTGAGAGGGTTATAAGAGGAGTTCTTTTTGTTAAATGTTGCTCTGAAGGAGAGCTTTTCTGTGTACAGAGAGAGAATTAATTCTAGCAATCTTAAACTGGGTACAATTTGTTAATGAGACATTGATCAGTGTTTTCTGTTTTAAAGTAATGCTTGAAGGTGACATGACATTGCCCGTATGTAAAATTCATGTAAAATTGATAGAAATTTTGAATGCTTTGGCAGAATGAATAGTGAGAGGAGTTTAATGCATCGGGGGGGGGGGGGGGGGAAGAAAAAAAGCTTTTTGGTGTTTTCTTTTTCCTCCGCTGAGCAGTGCAGGCGCCTGCCGCACCTGTATACGCGTGCACGTATAATGTCTTTGTGAGACTAATGGCTCCTCTCGTGTGACCGCCCTGTCTCCCGCAGCCTCCCTCGCAGAACCTGCCCATGGGCCCGGGCGCGCTGGGCCAGAGCGGCGCCGCGGCGGCCCCGCGCACCCACAGCCTGCCCTCGGACGGCCTGGTGGCCGGCGGCCCTCCCGCGCCCCACATGCAGGGCCAGATGAACGGCCAGATGCCCGGTAAGTCGTTTCGTTCCCTCCTCGCGGCGTTGCCTGGCGACGGGAGCCACGCCGGGGCTCGGGGGACGCCGGGTGGTTGGTGACAAAACTGCTTCGAGTGCCCCCGAGGACGAGCACGACGTGACCTGTATTCGGTGCCTATCGGGCCGCCCCTGGGCTGCGGCGGAGCTGACGAGCAGCCTTCCTCTGATGAGCAGGACTGGCTAAATTTAGTCCGCTGGAAGCCGTGCGGTACAGCTGGCTTGGGAGGGCTTGTTGGAGAGCGGTGTTGGCCTGTGGCTGAGCAGATGCAAACCCTTCCCTGAAAAGATAATGGGAAAGCATCGTGGCTAAATAATTGGATGGCAATAAAATAAATATATCTTAAAGAGGACGTTTCAAGCTTGGATAAACTTTAAAAATAAAAAACTCTTACACATAAATCCATCCAGTTTCCGCTAATTTCCCATGTTCTTTATATTGGAGATATGTTGAGACGATAAGGGGTTTCTAAAGAAGTGGCCTCCAGATGATTGTTGAAGGTGTAAGTTTTAAGTCAGTTTTTTATACCACCCTGTTTTGTGATAAAAGTGCTTGAAAAGTCAAAAGAAACAAAACCATGAAGCAAGACGATAAAATTCCACATTGTGCCAGCCTGGCTTTGGAGTAACTGCTCCCTTCAGTAGTTGTAGCAGAGTGGAGGGAGCCCTGGAAAAACTTGCTGCTTTATGGAGAGGCTGCTTTCCAGCATTTCCCCTCGTAAAGCCATATTGCCTACCCCGTGTGAATTGGCTTGGAAGTTAAGATTGTGTTACTAGATTGCTTTTGTTAGGACCCCCTCACTTTTTTATATGGAAGAACTTACCATACAAAAGCTCCTCAAGGTCCTGATTCTTCCAAGAAAGAGAGCTGTTCTCAAAGATCTTTCAAAATGCACAAGAATGAGCATTTTAACATAGTAATATGTTACTATATAGTAACAATAGTAATAAACATAGTAAGTCACTCTGAAAAATTTTAAGTATAAAAGCAAGAAACTAACTGCTACAGTCTCTAATTTCCCTTCAAATCTTGATAAAATTGACCTGATAATATTAGTGGCAACTTTTCTGAGAAAAGGAGCTGAAGAGCTGCAGAGACTCCATGCAAGAAGCATAATAAGTGATCTCTGGAAGTTAGTTTCATCATGCTTTTGGTTGTGGTTGGCTTTGGGAAGTGAAAAGACCAATACAGGCTGCTCCCTGAGCAGAGGCTGAAGAGTCTCCTATCCGTGCAAGATCCATCATCTCCCATGGAGAATAGCACTGCCTCTCGTACATCAGTCTCTTTGACCTTCTAGTGTAATCATATTATTGTTATTATAATGATCTTTTCCAAGGAGAAGGATTACTGAGTCACAATGTGAGCATAATGACTTCATTGCAGAATCACAAGGGAGAAGAGCCATTGCTTAAACATACATATTTTGTAATTAGATAGAAGAAGAGAGCTCTTATGAAAAAATGTGAAAGGTAAATAGATTTGTTTGGGTATTCACCTAGACAGATATTTAAATACCATTTCCATCTAAGCTTTAATTTAGTCTTCCTTCCAACATATTCTCTTTTTTTTTTTTTTTTGCATGTCTATTCCTTCCTTACTCTGTTTAAGGTTGTCTCTGAGGATGTAAAGATAAACAGCTTAAGATGAGGGTATTTCTAATATTGGGAAGACATACTATAATCATTCCATAGTTACACTCTGGAGAAGGGAAAACAGAATCGTCTTGTTAAGGGGATAGCTAAAATATATATATATTTTTAAGTGTATGCTGGTTTGGCTGTACTTGCACTTTTTTGTACTTCATGGGTATATACCTGTAATCACTTATTCTGTGTATGCATTTGCTCTCTGTTTATAGGACCCTTACCATAAAAATATTTACTTGCTTTTTAATGGAAGCTAGACACAAAAATTAAAGTATCTGAAGAGACGATCTGTTCAGATGGAACCAAGTCACTAGTGTGTAAACTAAGAGAATTCTGTGAAAACAGCCTAGAGTTGACCTGTCTAGAAGAAATAAAATCCGGTTTTTAAAGACAGGTACCTCTATCCCCATGCCAGGGCAGGCAGCCACCACAGACCTTCTGAGCCTCTGGCAGAGTTGAGTCTGTGGCAGATTATGGCTTTAACCTGCAAAAGAGACTTGTTTGAAGGGTCGCCTTCATGGAGTTTGTGTAATTCCCAGTAGGGCTGGTCTTGGTGTGGAAGAGGATGAACTTGGCTGTACTTGTAATTGGTTATTATCTGCCTGATCTCTTCAGCCTGTTTTGTAGTAAGGCCCATGTAGAAAGTAAAAAGGTAAGGCCAAACCACAGGGTTTTCTCTTGGCACTAGTAACTGTCCTTCCAGGATAATAGGTGCTTATATATTATATATTAAAAAGGCAAAATTTGTGATTAAAAACTTTATATCATGTCAAACTTTCTCTTAATATTTTTAATTTGGAGGCTTTTCTTCATACATTAGAAGAAAATGCATCAGATTTTCCTGTCCTCGTTTCCTGCATTCTTACTAAAAAAAGTCCTGTTTTAACTCCCAGAACAGGCATGTATGACATTTCTGCGCTGTCGTTTTTTGCTTCCCTATTTTGTTTCTTTTATTGCTTTCTAGTACTAATCCTGTGTCTTCCTCTACCTTCTTAGGAAGCCATTGAGAAAGGAGTTCTCGCAGTCCTGTATTTTTCTAGCAACACAATCTGGAGTTTACTCCACCTTAGCTTTCCCTTAGCACATTTAAGATCTTACTGCTAGGGATGGTCCAATTTACTTCCCAATTAAGCCACCTTGTTTGCTCTTTTGGAGAGGTGACATTAAAGATATCTGTAGTTCCCTGTCATGATCATAATCCTGTTTACTGAGATTTTTTTTTCCTGTATTTGTGATGGATCTGCCTTTGTACAATTAAGCAATCTCTGCTTAATTTAATTTTACTTTTGTTCTGCAGCAACAATGAACTGCACATATGATATTTTTATTATCCTTTTCACTTGCCTCAATAAAATAAACTTATTTCAGCACATATTTTCAGCAAGGTATCCTGAAAAGGGACAGAGGAGCTTCCTTAAACATATTCTCTGTTTCTTTATGTTGGCCTTTATTGGCTGTGGTCCTTCACCATGGTCGTCTTTTCCTTCTGCATCTTTTTGTTTGCACGTGGGTTGAATTGCCTCTGTGCCCTTGTGCACAGCTCTTCTAGCCTAAATCCTTAGTTTTGCCTTCATTTGCTCCTAGGCTAGTGCAGTTATTTCTTTGGCCCCATCAATACTCAGAAGTCATTTTCACCTGAAGGCAGGTAGCCTTTTCTGCATGTGGAGATAAGTAACCAAGTCACCCTGTCTTCCTGAAATTCTGTTGGAATGGCCTTTTCTAGGTTCCTCTTCTAAGTTCTATTTCACAGCTCTTTGCATCTTATGTAACTAGACAAACGTGACATGTTTAGTCGTGCGGGTGCAGGCTGTATTTATCAACATGCCTGATCTACAGTGACCTGCTCTGTCACATACTCTAGTTTTTCATTTCTTTGTAAATTCTTCATTTGCTGTTTATCATATGCATAATCCTTGCTTTTGACTAGYATTTTGTGTTTGTGTGTGTGTGATACTTACATCTAATCTTACTGATTTTACTCACTGCTTGCTTCTCTGCCTAAAGTAATGGCCAAACTGCTGAGACAGCAGATGCTGGCAAGCTTGTRAAGTCTGTGCTTTTCACAATATCCATTGCTCTTTGGTGGCTGTCCTTCCTGTCATCCCTCCCACACCAACAATCAGTAAATACACTTGCAAAATGCTGCCTATAGATTTGATGGCCAAACATCATTAAATATGCCTTTAGCCATGTCTGTTCTCTATGTACTTGTACCATATCGATGTTAATACTACCTGACCTTTTTTTTTTAAAAAAATGAAGCTTTAGTTCAAAAAAGTGTCTAGTACGGTTTGTTTGAATACACACAAATGTTCCAGCTGGATTTTTTTTTAAACTCCTGAGAYGGCTATATTCTTTTCAAGTGGAGTTCAAGTTGGATTTCAGGGTATATTAAGCAAGTATGGAAAAGACTAGCTTCTCGTATGATGTGGGTATAAGATGGATCTTATTATAACGTATAGTTTTGTTTTAACAAATTCTCTGCAAGAGAATTTATTTCAGAGTAGAACTGAACTTTGACAGTTAACTGAATTTCCTGTGCCACGTGCTCTAGGTGTCCTTCCTTGAGCAGGAGGATGATTTCTAGAGGTCCCTTCCAACCTCAACCATGCTGTGATTTTAGTGTTTAACCGGGTCAGAGAATTACTAGCAAATACTTTGTGCTTTAGCTATGTTTAAAAGTAATGTATTTGTCTTTATTTAGTTTTGTGACTTATAATTGCCTGCTTTATGGTGCATAATGTAACACTGTTCCCCCCCGCCCTGTTTGCTGTTATTTTTTCCAAAGGCCCGAACCACATGCCTATGCAAGGACCTGGACCCAACCAGCTCAATATGACGAGCAGCTCCATGAACATGCCTGCCAGCAGCCACGGCTCCATGGGCGGCTACAGCCACTCGGTGCCCTCCTCGCAGAGCGTGCCCGTGCAGAATCAGATGACCATGAGCCAGGGGCAGCCCATGGGCAACTATGGTCCCAGACCAAACATGAACATGCAGCCAAACCAAGGTCAGTGAAGCGCTTGTTAACATCTCCAAAAGTGAAAGATGAAACACATCTCACATACARACATGCTTTGAAAAGGTTTTTCTTCTTTTCTGTATGTTTTTACTTCTAAAYATATTTCCCTCCGTTTTTAAAGTTCTCTATATCCATCCTCCTACCTGTCACTGACTCTGCCTGAAGACACTGAACTGTTTCCAGATACTGGTTGAAAATCTGGGGTTGGGTCAGTTTTCATGGGTCATAAATTTGAGCAGCTATTTATCTTTCTCAAATTTTACATTGCTAAGTGTTACTATTGTGCAAATTGATAAAATATATCTCTGCAGTTTCTTGGGTAAATAAAAAAATTAAAGCCAGGTAGCCCTCACATTTTTATGCCTAATTAGTCTTAGTTCTTTGTGGCCTGCTGTTTTAGCTCAGAATGTCTTTTAATGTTAAGAAACAAAAATCCATTCCAGGAAAAAATCTGTTACTCCCTGCTGTTTTTAGGAGATGTCCTTGTGCATATAGTAAAACGCAAAACTAATTTTCAATCTTGGGCATTTGCATAGTGTAAACACATGATGTATCCTGTTGACACTGTGGTCCTTACTGAAGTGCAAGGACATTGCAATATTAAAATATTGCGTTAGAGTCGCAACAGGCCAAATTATTAAATTGTATCTCTACTAACTATTGTTATAAATGTGTTTTATACACCAGCAAGCAGTATTTTCAGCTTCCTTGTTAAGACTGTTATTATACAGGATCCAAACATGCCACCCATTAGAAGAGATGCTGTAGGTTTTCTCTTAATGCTTGTGCCTTGGTTACAGTAAGCATTTTTGTTCGGTCTGTATGATTCTTATTAAAGACAGATTAGCTGAAGGATATGACTGGAGTTGATCTTTTAAAATCTTTTTGGATGCTGTAGGAGAAAACAGTCGTCCTCTTTAAGACTTCTTTTGTGGTCCTTATAAAAATAGCATTCTAGTGGCATGGATCTTATTATCACAACACACTCTCACTGAGACTAAAGCTCTATTTTGTTAGGTAGATATCAGTGGTCGTGAGGGCTRCTTTATTAGATCAGTTAGAGCTTTATAACAGACTAAAGAGTAGGGTAATAGGGTATCCAAAATGAGACAAGAAGCCAGGAGTTTCTGCAGTTTTCTTACTGATAGAGCGGCARTTCTTGAGACTCGCACATTCATGGTGTTAATGGTACCGTTCTTGAAATCTGGCAGTAAAGGAAAGAACAAGTGGGCACACAGCAGAGAAGTCATCGCAGCTGGGAATATTTTTATTTGTCTCTCCACATTGATACATTCATGTTCTGAGCAGTACRTCGTGGATTAAAATTTCTAAGGCTCTTTCTGAAGAGTCCTGTGCACATTCGGTTGAAGTTTCTAGTTGCAGAGTTAGCAGTAAATATGCAATAGTTTGTGTGAGGAAGCYGTCCGCTTAATTGCTCTACAGAAAACAACCTTGTATGATTGGTTTACAATGTAGGACTAGTGATTCTCCCATCTCAAAAATAGTTGATTATTCTTTCTGGTAATACTTCTCCGCTTTATTTGCAGTACTCTTTTCAAACTTGAAAATTGCTCATTGGAAATTAGGGAGAAAGGCACTTGAGAGGTTTCTGTTCTGAACAAATAATAGTACTGTAGTATCTTTGAGGAATAAAGGATAAAGCAGTATTTTAGACTAGAGTCTTTAGTATTTTCAGCTAGAGAACAAAATCTTTTTGAACAGTTTTATCACTGGAGCTGGTAGCATTGACTTGAGCATTGATTTAAGGTCACAGCTTTCTCATTTTACTAAATTTTGACCCTCTAGGCTGAGATTTCTCCATGTCAAATTTCTGGTTTATATTGATTTTTTTTTGTGGAATTTTCACAGAAATGTTTCTATAAATAGCTATAAATAGCTATAAATATCTTTATATAATATATATATAACCAAGTATTGCTGAAAAAGGGGTGAAAATTTATTCTTAAAAATATTTTAAATCTTATTCAGAAACATTATTACAYAGAGCAGTTGTGTAAATGCAGGAGTGTAGGTCCTGCTTACCTTATAGGAAGGCTTCAAAATTTGTTTGTTCTGCCAGCAAAACTGCATTTGCTTTTTCAGTGAAAATACTGCCCCATCTTGGTCAGATTTTAAATACGCTTGGGTATCTTTAAGATAGAAAATGTGCATCTGTTGGATATTGTGATCCCAAGACAGCAGGGSAGGGAATGACAGACAAGTCTATGGGAGGGCCAGAGAGAGCTGGAGAGGGAGCCTGGCCGAGCAGATGGACCCACCAAACCCAAACGCTGCAGGCTCCTCAGCTAAAGCAAAGGAATGAGGATGAGCAGATAGGAAGTGTGGCTGGTTGCAACCAAACAAAAAGGGGCTGAGCATATTGTGAAGTTTTAATGAGCAGGGTATGCSGCGACACAGCAACGAGACCAAAACTCTTGCACCTGATGTCAGGAATGACTGAGAGCAAGCTCTGATGCTTGGTGTCATAGGGTAATCCGTATGGAGAATGTGAGATCCTGCTGTCTTAGTTATAGCACTGGCTCAGGGTAACGTGGAATATTCTGAAAGGTAGGAKCTTAGCATCCCAGATTGGCTGTTAAAAGTTGGTAGCTGTTTTTGACCTTGATCTTTCCCAGCATGGAGTCCCKCTCTGTAGAGGAGTGAATCTGATAGTGAGATGATAATACCACCTGATTTCACAGGAGTGCTGGGAGAGCGTGTTCGTTATGAAGATTGGACATTTCAGTTATGAGTGGCGTGAGAAAACCTGTGAGTAAATTAGTAATTCTGGCTTCATAGCATTGTTTGAACAGGCATGACACCTCACACGGAACAACTGCAGTGAAACAAAATATTGGATAATTCTGCAGTGAGTTTCTGCTGTGCGCTGAATGAAGCCRGGATTAGTTGAGGAAAAAGCGTGTTATCATATAATAGAAGAAATGCCAAAACACCCAGAAGGGCTTGATCTAACTTTTAAGTGTTTTTGGCATAACTTTTCCTATGTGGTTTCTATCAAGTCTCTCACTATATACATTTTGAGTTAGATGGTGTTGAGAAGAAAGTAAATTACAATTTAAAAAAATATAACACATAGCAATGGAATCCATTGTTAGATTCACTTTCCCTTTGTAGTCTGTATTTACTACTAGTTTATATAATTCTAGCCAAGGAATGTCTTCAGTGAGAAGCAACATTTTCACTGTAGTGATTTCATGTAGTCAGTCCAGTTAAAATAAGAATTTGAGAACTGCACCAGCAGAGCGGTACCAGCAGCTCGCTCGGGAGCACCCCGCCTTATTTCCCTGCTTTTTGGGAGTTGTGACAGTTACTTCTGTCCCCTTTCAGTGCTCGTCGCAGTATCTGAATTTCCGTAAAGGAGGCRCAGCTAAGGAGCTGTTTTAAGCAGCTCTCATTTTCTGCAGCTCATTCACCCTCGGTGTGTGTCTGCTCTCGAGTTGTCACKTTGCCCTGGGGCCCACTTCTAGTTTGCATTTCTGTTTTGGTGCTCTCTTCTTAAATTGCTACAGATTACTGGATTTGTGAGATCCTGTAGTACTTGTATCCACACATCTTTATATTGCTTGTACTAGTCCTTCCTTTGAGATGCTCTGGAGGAGGAGGATTTTATTTAGTAGCTGTAGAAGACTCTTTGAACTGAGTAGCTGCTAAGAATTTTGTGTGCTCCTGATAATGGAACAAACTCTTTTTAATTAAAGGTAATTGATCAGTGAACTGTAGTTCCCTTTTCACCTCTTGACTGGCTTTTTTTACATGTTTGCTCACTCCCCAAGACTGATTCGGGTTTGACAGGGCATTTTTCCATTTAATGCCTACCAAAGGCACTGCATTTCTTTCAGGACCTGCARCACTTATGCTCAAAATCATTTTCCTTTATCCCAAGAATGCTCACAATATATCGACGGGTGAAGCCCCCTCCTGAAGGCTGCCTGGCTTTGCCTTGCCAGAGTTACTCAAGTTCCCTGAAAAGGCCGTAATCCATCTCTTCCTGCGTATTTACAGTAATAGCACAAGRTGATATTTTCTTGGGCTTAATATGGGCTCAATGCACATCAGATATTCTGTCCCCTTTGGAATAAATAGTCCCAGAAATTCACTAAAAGCTGATTGTTTCTAAAGGGAGTTTGTGAAAGCAGTGACCCTTCTCTTGTGCCCTTGATGTGAGCTTTCCRTGTGACATCTTATGTCCAAGTCTGGAAGAGACCGTCGCTTCCTTTGAATATGCTGTGATCTGATAGACGTTTGAAAACCTTTATTTTAACTAGGCTCAAAAATGCACGCTATGAATATTAGAAATCCTTAGATCATGAAAGAGTGACAGTTTTTGACTGCAGTTTTGTGAAGGGGGGTGTTGGTTGTTACAGTTCTTTGTCACACTAGCTGGTAATAGGGTGAATAAATGTAACCTTATTGTAGGCTTAATATTTCAAAAGCAAAGTTCCCTTGCCCCTCGAAGCTACTGCGTAAACTGGTTCTGTTGTGTGAGATGTTRGAGACCGTGATCCTTCTGTTGGGTGTCTGTCTGGTGCGAGGGAGGTGTGAGCAAACTGGAAATGAGCCAGCACGGTGCAGTGATGGAGGCAGCCAATTCTCATTGTGACTCTACAAAGCGTTAATGAAGATCTAATTTAAAAAGCAAACAGAAAACCTCTGCATTGCACTATGGGGACCCAACACATTTTATCACATTGTATTGTGACTAATATTAATATTGTTAATTAACAAGCTTTCTTGAGATCTAGGAACGTTACGGCAACAAGTTTTTGGTTTCTTGCAAAGCTGGTGAATCTCTCTCGGTACTTCCAAACAAAAAAGTGGTGAAATGGAATGATCTGAATTACTTACTTGCCCAGAAGATCAAAAAATGAAATAYGTTATAGTTAAGTGGAAAAATAATTGCAGTATCTCTGTTTAAACCATTTTATTCCTTTAAAATCAGAACATAGAAATTGTTGTGCGGACGAATGGGAGCAGGACTAGATCGTCTTTAGAGTGGCCAATATGGATCTTCAGAGGAAGATTAAGCATTACGGAACTACGGCCACTTCTCACTGAGAGATTCCACACAGGGGTTTAATGGGATTTAACTAACAGACTTTGAATTCATGCCGTTAATTAATTTGGCTTAAATTTCTTCAGTAGCTCTGTATAGGCAAGACCTGCGTGGCTAAGTATTCCTTTCCCCGTGTAAATCCATTGTCTGTATTGACTGTATCAGCTCATTTTCCACTCCTGGATTTTCTGCATAGTACTTCCTTCTTGTGCTCTAACAGTCAGTTATCGAAACAAAAATTAAAAGCAGCAATAGCAAAAGGGAGTTTTCAGTAGAAGAAATAAGTGACACATTCCTTTATTTCTTGGTATGGGGGCAAGGAACAGCTAGTTTGGTACTTTAATTCGCTACTTTTTTTTTTTTTGTGCAAGACTGATTGCCACTTAGCTGCTTTGCAAAAAGCCTAGGGTTTCAGCATTATGAAGTGTAAGATAGGCGTCAATTAGCTAGAAAAAAACTTTTTAACGAAGCTTGGCTCCTCCTCCCAACTCTTTGGTTTCGTTTTTGCATTCTGGAATATCTCACATGAAGTATTGCTACAGAGGACATGAGGAAGCTGCTGTCTGTTAAAAAGCAGTACTAACCTGATGTGCAATCAAATATATTCAGATGGCTCCATTGTAATTTTCATTGCTGAGTGGTGTCAGTAGCAGGTCTGTTACTGCTTTCACTAGTGAAGTTTGCTGTTTCTTCCAGTTCAGACTTACCCTGTTTTGTCTTGGTTAGAAAAGCATTGACAACACTTGTTCTTTCCAATGTGCCATCACTTTGCAGCTYGGTATGAAAGGTGGTTGTTTTGTTATGGGCAGCTTGGGGCTGTTCTGTGGTGGGCAGAGGGCACAGTCTCCTGTAGGAGCCTAAGAGAATGATTTAACCGTGGGTTGTGTGTTACAGAAGACATGCTCACTGTGTTTTCCTGTTTACAGGTCCAATGATGCACCAGCAGCCTCCCTCCCAGCAATATAACATGCCACAAGCAGGTGGCCAGCACTACCAGGGACAGCAGCCACCTATGGGAATGATGGGCCAAGTTAACCAAGGAAACCACATGATGGGTCAGAGACAGATCCCTCCATATAGGCCACCCCAGCAAGGTGGGAATTCACTTGCGTGTCCTTGTATCAGTTTTGAATTACCACCTCTAAAATTATTTTAAATCACTTCCTTGCTTACCTTAAATCTGGATTAAGTTATTTTGAGTCATAGTTGTAGAGTTTGTGGACTTTTTTCTGTTATCCTCTTAGGTCTGAATCTTGCAGCAACAGGATATTGATATTGCCATGAAACTTGAAGACAAATATTTCTTCTGTTTTGAGTCTTTCTGTCAGAAAGAATCTCAAACAATGCATCTCAGATATGCTGATGCAGAATCCTGTYTCTATGTGAAAATTATTGATAGGTATAGAAAAGGAGCAGAGTACCCGCGTGGTTCTGAATTTGCTCTTAAAAGAAAAGAAAAGAAAAAAGAGGGGGGATGGGGGAATTCCTCTGTTTATCTATTTTTTTGTCTTTGCAGACCTTTTAGAAGGGGAGTAATCTTATTTTTGCCTTGGTGCTTTTACATACAACTTTGTAAAATAAGCTSAGAAATGAAGTATGGTATCTGTGTGCTCAGATCGAGTGCAACCACAGTACTTTGTGTTGATATATGTGGGTGTAAGTGTGTATTTTAAGTAAACCAGATTACATATGTTGTCTGAAATGCAACAGTATGGGTGGGGAGTACATTTGAGAAATATTTCTCATACTGAAATGAGAAATTAGCAAGCTTTATAATAGAGAAAACAAGTTATTTACGTATTGACTGGTTGTGGTTTTTCAGGCCCACCACAGCAGTACTCAGGCCAGGAAGACTATTATGGGGACCAATACAGTCATGGTGGACAAGGTCCTCCAGAAGGCATGAACCAGCAATATTACCCTGATGGTAATCTCTCATAAATGTTAACTTTCCCATTTTCTATATCTGCCCAGTATTAATGTAGACATTACATTGCCCAGAAATAGGAAACGGGGCAAGAATAGTGATTATCATACCTCGCATTTGCAAAAACTTCCCRATTTGGAATTGTTATAGAGCTTAAATTGTTAATAATAGCTTAAATTGTTAATAATTAGTTAACTTTGCAACTTAAAGTATGTAATTTGTACTACCTTCACTTGTTGCTATAACATCAGTACCAGTATTTCGAAATGGAGATTCTGTAAATGGTTTGTCTAGAAGTATGGAGGGTTCATTATCGTATCTGGTAGAATTGTGCTGAATTCAAACAGTCATAATGATAATAAATAAGGGGGAGGGGATGGGAAAACTTGGCTTAAGGCATGTGTTTTTTTTTTAACTTAGCTTTTAGCTTTAATATAAGTCTCAAAAATATCTTATTGTTGATATGCGATTTAGCTTAATTAATGTTTTGCAAAGACACAAAATGCCTTTTTCCTCCTCCCTGCCCTGTGGAGTTGTTAATTGGGAATCCTGTTTAAAAGTCCCCCAGTACTTTCAAGAGAAGCCTTTGAATCACCCAGAAGGATTCTTCTGCCTCTTGGATGTAAAGTCCTGAAGGCTCCTGKATTGTGTTACAAGTTAGGAGAGTTGCAGTTAGTTCTTTGGAGTCTGACCACAGGCTCTTGGCTACTGTGATAAGTCTGTCTGCAACTCCGTGGTATCCTAGGAAGTTCAAAAAGGTAGCCAATAACGATTTAAAAATATATGCAAGGCTGTACACTTGCTAAATAAAAGGACACAAGCCAGTTGTTTTCATTTKAGCTGCTATTAAATGAGTTTTTAGGATGCTTAGGACCGTATCAAAAGATACTACATATAAGCTTACACATGCTGTTTTTGGATACGTTACATGCAATGCAAAGGTGTTTTACAAGTTGCCTTCAGTTAGTTACTGAGCTTTCATGTGGAACTCGTGTCACACATGTGACCTTTAAATGGCTACAGGTAATTTACTGCAGTAGGGGAGATTGGGCATTATTGACAGCTCTGGCAGCGTAGATGAATTTGCTAAGACTTCTTCCTTCCAAAGATATATTCCCTGTAACTGTCTCTATTATTGCTACACAGAATGTAAGAAGAACATATGAAACTTACGCTAACAGTTGTGTATCTATATTAGATTCAGTCAATGAAGTATGATGCACTTGCAGAACTAATTGTAAGGATCTTTTAGATATGTTTTCTTCTTTTAGTGTCATTTTATCCCAGTTTTTAACAAAGTTTCATCTTGTTTTCGTGATGAAGTTAGCAGTATGATATGTTTTGGTCATCTGCAGATATATTTATCTTAAAACAACCAACAGGTAGGGTGCTTGCTTCATGCATTGGTCTCTTTTTCAAAGGTGTCTGTAGTCTCTGGAAAGGAAGGTTCTCTTGTAATGATTTTCCTCATGGCTGGAATGTAAAACAGGAGTTTTCTTATGACTTCTAGGAATTGTGTTTGTAAGGAAAAGTCAACCTTGAGATTTTTTTTCTTGCTTCAGAGCAGAATTTAATATAGACATGTTCATAACTTCTTTTGAGCTTTATTTGTTATATTTCACACTGCTTTTAGCATATGGTTTTGAACTGGAGATCAGCAGAACAGGTGTTAGTCAAAGTATGATAATTGCTTTCTTTGTTCATTCTGATTTAATTCAGGTTATTTACATGTGAAAGGCCTAAATGCTTTCATTTTTTTTTGAGCGAAAGATAAAATACTTTTTATTTTTTCCCCTCAACAAGCATTACCAGGAGGTTAAGACCATCCTTTGCTGTGATGTTCCTAAAACTACTGCATTAAGCCTTTTTTTTTTTTCTTCCTATCACATGTTAAGTCAGTATGAAAAGAAATCATATGAATAAATCTTTGGCTAATACAATTGAAAATTCTTTTTCATGTATTTCCAGTTGAAAAAAGAAATTTTTTTTTTTTTTTCATTTTTCTGAAAGATGAAATATTTTTAGGGTTTTCACTCAGAGGCCATTAACGTTTCTTCCTGTCTCTTGTCGAATTGATGTAGGTCATAATGATTACGGTTATCAGCAACCGTCGTATCCTGAACAAGGCTACGATAGGCCTTATGAGGATTCCTCACAACATTACTACGAAGGAGGTATCTATATACCTTCACACACATACGCACATACATTCCCTTTCCTCCCCCACCTGCAGCGGGAACCGAAATTCTTGCACCACACGACTTATACCCATGCAAAGCTCTCGTAGAATACTAGTTGCTGGCTGCCTTGGAAACTGCAGGGACCGTGAAGCATTCAGAATAATTTCTTGCAAACACCTAAAACGTATAACCATGATTTGCCATGTCTAACAACAGTAAAATGACTAAAACACTATAGAGATTTTTATTTTTTTCCCTCAATGGAAGTTTTTGTTTAAACGTAAATTTGTTGGTTCGGTTGTTTACCTTCTTTTTGTGTGTCTATATATTTTGTATAATTATAGTGCCGTTAGGAAACAGCTTGCTGATCTTGTGTAGCTAGTCTGTGCTCTTGTAGCTGTCCTTAATTTTGTCTTTTTTATTTTATTTAGCATAGTCATGATCTTATGACTGTAACGTTCCAGTAAATGTAATGCTCATTTGGCAGAGATGCTGAAAATGCTGCAGTCAACTTTGCAAAATTGGCTTTAACTGCAGTTTGTTTGGCCGAATTCTTTCTGTTTGGTTTGAGTTTTCTTTGTTTCGTTCAGTTTTTGAGATCAGTATTTGCATTTTCATTTGTTCTTGTGTTGTTGGCTGTGCATCTTAGGAGGAAAAAAACATAAAGTAAATATCTTTAATTGTTTCCTTTCTTTCTTTCTTTCTTTCTTTCTTGCAATCATGTTACAGGAAACTCCCAGTATGGTCAGCAGCAAGATGCATATCAAGGACCACCGCAACAGCAGGGCTATCCACCACAACAGCAGCAATACCCAGGCCAACAAGGCTACCCAGGACAGCAGCAGGGTTATGGTAAGGACCTGAAGACACAGCCAGTAGTCATGGGAAAGAATGAGTAGTGAGATCCTCATATGTTATTCCAGCCTGGTTTTACTGAGTAGAAAGTCCAGCTTTATGCCAAAGAGCACTGTACCTTCAGTCTCAGTGGGCCAGGACAAGAAGGCGCAGAAGATGGCATCCTTTGGGAAGTGGATCTGGTTAGTTTGTGACAGGTTGATAGCATGACAAACTGGGGGATTTCTAGACGTTTTTTACATAGGAATCTGTAATTTAGAAGAGAGAGAGACTTTTATCTGTAGAWGAACATGGAATGACAAGGTACAAAGTTGGCATGGCAAAAAGTTGTTCTCACATCTTTGTCTCTTGTTTGTAGTTTGAAACTGCGACTCGCGTAAGCTAGTGTAAAGTTTCGTACAGTCTTTATGAATCATCTTAAAATTCCTGCACTGATCAATAAAGGAATTTACTAGAGAGCATTGTCAGTGCAGCTTTGGGAAGAGTTTGTCTTAGAAAGTACSTGCACTGGTAGTGAAAACTTCTAAAGCTCTTGTGTCATGTATGACACARTAGAAATCCTTTGCCACATATGAGGTGATATCATCCTTGGAYTCAAGGACAGTCTCCCTAACAGGAAGCTTCTAGTACTTGTATGTGTTTTTGGGGGTATTACTTCTTTAAAAAACAAATAAATAAAAAAGAGAGAGGGAGAGGTCACTAAAAAGTTTTCTTTGCTTGAATATTGTAACACTCTACATATGTATTGTAGAAGCAGCAGCCATTAAAAAGAAATCTCTGAAATCTGAAATCTAATTCCAAATATTTTAACACTTAGCTTTGTTACAGGTTTAAATGATAAGAATTCCTCTTTGTGGTTATGCAAGGAAATGCAAACAAACCTWGTTTGCCGTCCGCATAACTAGATTTGATGCAAAACTGGTATTTATGTTGAGGTAGAGTTAAACTTTTAAAGGATCCACTGAGATGTGACAAACTTTTTGAGGTTATGGATGAATTAGCAGTTGAAAATAATGTTCACTTATATTCCACTAAGTTTAACACAAGAACAGCATGAAGGTCCATCCAGCCCAGTATTCTGAATGTTGTAAACAAATGAAGTTTGTAATTTATCCAACATAAAACCAGTTCCCCAACCAGAAGGGAACAGTTGAAAACAAAATCACACTTCTTAGGGTGATTTTTCTTAGTGTATGCCTTACATGAGGCACTTAGGGACATGGTTTAGTGTTTGTTGTTGAAGGGTTTACAGTTGGACTCARTCTTAAAGGTGTTTTCCARCCATAATGATTATGCGATTCTGTGATGTAAAATTTGACTTACTCTGCTTAAGAGACAGAGGAAAGGGATCAAGAAATGCACTGGAGCTGCCAAAATTGGTACTCCTAGATAGCTTATTCTCTATTTCCTTTTTTTAAAGCAAAAATAGATATTAAAGTCCCAAATAAATACAAAGTCTATTTTATRAAATCTGTTAGTGACCGTTTATAGTTCTACTATGAAGAATCATTATAAAGAATTACTGTGAATAACTGAAAACGTTTTATTTGTCAGATGAACATGGCACTTTTTAGCATGTAGTATCCTTGATTTAGGATTTAATTGCTTAAAAATAGAAATAAAAATAAAGAATAAAAATAGATAAATCCGGTTCTCAGTCATTATTATCAGTCATCTAAGTTTTGTGCCGCTGCAGAAAGATGAAGCTGTGTAGTTCAAGGGGATTTGAGGCCTGAGAAGAAAGGTAGTAGCCTGTGGAGCTTTTCTCTTCCAGACCATCTTTCTGCATCTCTCATAGAGTCAAAATTTTCAAAAGTTACCAACCTAGGTTGCCTTAATATTCAGTTCCAGTAGCTATAACTCTAGTACTGAATTACATTATTGCAGTGCTGCAAAAGGCAGCCCTCGAGGTACCTGCTGCAAAGAGTCTGCTCGGGGTATCCCTGAAACAGGCAGCACCTTCCCTGGCTAAGGCACTCAGTTTGGGACACGTCCCGGTGGCAGCATGTGGCTTCCGATGGTCACCTGATGGGAAGGAAGAGTCCCTGAGAGTGGTGGCAGACAAGAGTTTGCATGGACAGGAGGGCTCTTCCCTTTTACTGCCTAAAAAGGCTGGAGCCAAAGTTCTTCTCTACCCTTCTCCTGGAAAGCTGGTATGACCAGTGTAGGAGCGAGTGGATGGCACCTTTTTTCACTCCACAGTAGCATTTCCTGGTTGTCACAGCTCCCATTTTATTCAGCAGCCTGCCATCCTATTTGTGATTGCCTGCCGTGGTGTGAGAAGGGGCTGCTAGGCTGTGCAGCACTGCTGGTCTCTTCTGAAGAACAAGTGCTAAACACAGCTGCCGTTTGGCTGTTCCTGCAGTAAAAAGGTTTCAACCTGGCGCAGCAGTATATGGCAGGAACCAGGTGCCTCCTTARTGCTGTGAAGTGATGGGTGCTCCTGCTGTAGCTCCTTGTCTTGTCCTCCCTGTCCCATGGCCTAGACCTAGTGTGTAGAAGTGTGTGCGTGGATAATGTGAAAATAAATAAATGAATAAAGAAGAGGTAAGTGATCAAGTTGAAGCTAAGGTGCGTTCAGTGATGGACCACAGGTCTGTTATGCATTTATAGGTAGACATGACCTTAATGCACAGTTGTGCTGTTTTTGAGCCCTCCTCAATTGTAAAATTCACTTCGTTTACCACTGCTTCTTTATAACTCTTTTAACCAAATTTTGTTTCTTCTGTGATTTCCAGGCCCTTCCCAGAGTGGCCCGGGACCCCAGTATCCCAATTACCCACAAGGACAGGGCCAGCAGTATGGGGGATACAGGCCCACGCAGCCTGGGCCCCCACAGCCACCACAGCAGAGGCCTTACGGATATGACCAGGTATGCCTGCCGTGGATCAGGATCCTGCTTCTTATATCTTCATCTGGTTATTTTGGTTGTTGCAGGCATTTAAACTCGTAAATTTGAGAGCACAGTCTCTCTGCTSTGTATATGCAATTCGTGTGCTTGTGTTCCCATGTGGGTTGTCAAAAAATACAAAATACTCATCTGGAGGAATAATTAGTCCTTTTTTGAGTTTGTAGAGTTTAATGCAGTTTGGCAAAGCAAGGGCCTGCAAACCCTATTTTTGAACCTTAGTGACCATTGTTAAAGTGGAGACACCTAAATCTCACRTAGGATCGTTTTACTTTCTGCTTTGCATTAGAAATTTTTGAATTTTCTACAAAAACAAATGCAGTAATGCTCGTCCCCAGCAGCAGAAATACCTGATGTGAGCAACTAAAGTCCTTCTGTTTTAGGACTGTGTTGGGGAGGACTCCTGTAAAATTACCTTCTCATGAAAGCATGAAGCAAAGGTTTTTACTCTTGTAGAAGTTTAACTAAACTTGAAAGTCTAATCTTAGCAGTATAAATAGTTCAGGAACATCACTGCAGTGCTTGACATTACTAAAATTGACATAACTAAATATATACTATGATCCAGTTGAAGTTCTGGTGTTGCAAAAAAAATGTGATAGGTCAGTAAAGRTTTAGTTGAAGTTTTAACAAGAACTTATCCTTACAATTATACAGTTATCAGTATTTCCAGAGGAGATTAGTTTGCTTCCTTTCTGCAGAATTTAGAAAGACGATGAAGAAGGAACAAATTAGAAATGCAATTATTTCTCCTAATTATTAAAAAGGAAATGTATTCAAGCTCTGAACTAATATCTTATGGAAAGGAAAAGCTATAGGAAAATGCTTTGCTTGTRGCAAATGTAGAGTGAAAGAATGTCAGTTTGCTGAGTTTCACATTCCTTTGTGACAGAAATGTGTATCTCTGTGTAGGTATGTTCTAGTCCTCCAGTTTGTGCAATCTRAGTTCCTTTGGGAAATTCAATTATGGAAGGCCTTCCCACTCTTTCATACTAGCCAATCCCATAGGAACTGCACTGCTTAAATACTCATCTGGCAGCTGTTCTGAAACTCTTCTTCCCAACTGATCAGTGTATTACAAAGGAAAATAAAAGTGACATTGCAACATAAAAATGGCATTTAAAGCGTTGCCTTACTGTGATGGTATTTACATGAAATGTTAACAGGAAAAAAAAAAAAAAGGAATTTGAAGAATGTTTGCTTTATGGTGCACTAACTAAAGTTCAYGGTAAGTCTGTAGCATTGAGGCTTTCGCCTCTCTCCTTTTCAGTAAATCACCCTGGACATCTCTGTCAAAGGAAGTAGAAGATATCAGCAAGGGGAATAATTCTGTGCATCAGATCTAGGGAATAAATGATTCCTGTAGGATAAGTTGGTTAATTATGTTTAGCATAATGTTAGCATAATTCAAAACCTTGRTTGTTGAGGAACTTGCATCCATCTCTTCTGTGATGCTTAATATATGAATACTTAGGTGTATCTGAAAGCAATTTAGTTTTCTAAACTACTTAGAATTCAGGTGTGTCATTCACCGTGTCATTTTAAGTACAGCTAGATATTCAGGTGTGAAGTAATTATCATCTTTTATTTTTGTTGTTATTCTGCAAATTTCACAGTTGTATGTCTTTGAATAAAGCAAATAATTCTGGTAAGGTCCTGGTTTTAAATCCATGTCATTGTTTCGATGACTTGTACATTAAAACATATTTAGTGAAATGAAACTGTGCTGTTCAAAWCAGTTTGCCACTTACTGTCGTATATTTACACCATTTAACATGACGTTTTTATTGATCTTTTGATTTCATCTTTTAATGCAAGAAAGCTATCTCTAATCCCATATTTTGGATTTCCTTTTTAGGGTCAGTACGGAAATTATCAACAGTGAAAAAGTATTCACATTCCGGTAGGCATCACCTTTTAGCAGCCATATTGTTTCCTCAGCACTGTGGACATCTTCCTGAGATGAGAACTTCCCAATCCATCTAGTTTTTGGAAAAATCGTGTGGATAAATGGCTGTCTCATGGTATGCAGTCTTCATGGGTTAATTGCAAAAGACTGTAGTTCCTCAGAAACTGATTTCCCATCTCTACTCTAGATGGCAATATTGGACAGAAAATATGTGACATAACAATTTGCAGTGAGCTGAGAACTGTGTCTCAAATAGACTGTTACAGACGGAAAGGTGCGAACAGCTTTGTATGTTTATGAAGGTTATGGGGAATTTAATATTTTTTCCACAGATTTTTTTTGTAGGGGGAAAGGGGAAATGCACACTTTTTACAACAGCAATATTTTGTATATTATGTTTTTCATGTGGTGAATATGCAAGACAGTACACTACTCGCTGGGCAGGATAGGAAATCTGCTGTTAAAATGGGTAGGGGCATGAGGAAAGCTTGATTGTGCAAGTCCTCGAAATGGTGTACAGTAAAGATAACAGTGGAGAAAAAGACAAAGAGCATCATACATCACTGATAGGTCCATGTACAAAGAAAAAGAGTCCCAGTTATCTAAATGGGAGCATAATTAAGGACAGTATAATATAGTCTTGTGCAAAGATTAATTTTTTAAGCGTTACATTTTTTCTGAGTGAAGCATTTTTGTAAAAAAAAAAAATAAAAAATAAAATGTTTCTAATATAGTTTGACATTTTCCTGCAACATTTTTGGGGTAACAAGATATTTGGGTTGTATCTCTTGCCTATGTTTTGTCACAGCTTCACAGCAAGCAAGTTGTAATTGCCTCCTAATAATTGCAATAACACAGAAAATGACAGGGGTGAGTTTTACTTGGCTTAAATGTGCAAAGAACTCCGAAAAGATTATCGAGAACAAGACTCTGTTATGTAAGTGTATTTTAACCTTTAGCTGAATAATTTGTATGTATCAAAATAGCCTAGAAGATTTTGTAAAACCTATCTAAGCTMTCCTAACTGGGAGTTAATATCTTTAGAGAGGGGGCATTTTGTGTGTGGTGTCCATTTCTMCTACTGGTTAGTATGAGACCAAGGGATGTTTTTGAACATCACACCTAAGACCTGTTGGWGAGATAAATGCCAAATTTTATTTTGAACTGCATTATTGCTTATAGTGTTGCATGTGAGATAGACGCAGCACCTTGATCAGTAGCATAGTAAACAAAAATTGGGTTTGAGACTGTCCTGCAACTGCATATTAGATAAATGAAGGGATATTCTGTTGTGCAGGGATAGATGCATACAAGAATTCCTGGCAATTTTTATAAAGGATGCAACTTAAAATTAGCCCAGGAGTAAAATCCAACTTTTTCAGTTGGCAATCATGTTTAAATAGGAGAAAAAAAAAAAGGCATTTGTAGTCCACGTATGACCTTATACACAGAAAACAAGATTTTCAATTTGTTCATCATTGTTAAAGGGAAAACAATTTTCTATTACTTAAAATTGTTTGATGGAAAATACACATCAAGGATTGAAGAGATACGGTATGAGGAACATTATTATGAATGAAATGCTTGTAGGTTCTGTGCCAATTTTCCACCACTGTGTACTTCATTGCTATTTAAAACTGTACTCCATCAATTCTAACGGAAGAATAAATTATTTGTGATTTTAATTTTCTCATTTGTTTCTTTAAATTAGATCTCTATCACTCTGATGTCTCATCTGGAGACTCTGCTGTGGGCTTTTATTATATAGAAGTTGGGCCAGGATAACCGAACTGTATTTACAATCTAGGACTTGATCAAAATTCTCTTGCCATAGCCAACTTAATTAGAATTAACCGTTCGGTAATCAGCATGTTGTGTAGGTTGTTTGTTATGAAATTCTTCCTGAAATTGAAGGTCCATGAGGCTATAATCAAGATGACTGAATTAGATAAATGAGTTGAGGAGGCAAAAATGTGTTGAACCCAACCTGGTGTAGATACGTTATCTCATTTGAAACAARCTCAGCTGACATTAAGAAATAATTTGTCTTGCCAGCCCATCTTCTGTTGTCTTATTCTCCTTTTTAATGGAAACTAAAATTGCAATTTTAATAAGCAGAATTTCCTCCAGGGTTTCCCTCCTAGAGACTACTGCATTTGCAAGGTTTAATTGTTTTATAACGGTCCTGTTTTGTAAAAGTTTTTAATTGGTGGTGACAAAAATTGCCCTATTCCTCTGATACTTAGAGGCGATACTTAGAGAAGAGAGGCGATCGCTCTACCTAAAAATGAGTGTTTCCACTAAAACTCTGTATTAAGAAACATCAGCTTTCTCTCAACAAAAAACAAGTGAGAATGCATAATAGGAGCGAGGTGATGAAACAGCAACATGCAAGGTTTGCTTTAACAAGGATCCTTTATTAAATAAATCAAACCAACGGGAAACTAGTAGAAAAAGTGCTGCACTTTGCCTGTAGAATGTCAAGTGCAGAACGCAGAAAATAAGAGGGCTGGGAAATGGGYGGAAACCTATACAGCAAATCAAATATGTGAACAGAAATGCTACAAATGTCCGAAAAGTAAAGAGAGAGTAAATGAATATAGATTTTATTGTTTGGTTTTGCTTTTTTTCCCCACTTCTCATAGTGTTGCAGTTTTTGCCATCACAATTTGCTTTTTCATTCCTCTTTTTCAGATGTTTTTATTCCCTCTTCTGCTCTGGGAATGACTCATGGTAGGGAGAAGGTGGCTCATTGAAGTGGYGTTGACTTCACAGTGTTCTAACAAAAACAAGCAAACATGCTGCATAAAGCAGAAAGAACTTTTGTTTTTCTTGCAAATAGTCTCACTTACGTTTTCCTACCCAAGTTTACTTTTCCCTTTCTCTTTTAAAGTTTTTTTAAATGATATTCCTAAAGAAGAGGGACAAGGACAATGGTATAAAATATTGTACTTTACAGTACATGTCATGGAGGATGTTGAGAAAATACTTTCCTGTGATTTAAATATATATATATATCAGATTTTAGTTCCAAAAAAGAAGGGAGTATTTAAATTTACAAATTGAAGAGAAAGTGTTACATCAGAAAAGTCAGGTGGAATTTAGCCAGAATCCCTGAAGAAAATTTAAAAAATGAGTAGCTGATTTTTCTTCATGGGCAATAGCTGTTGTAGCATAAAATAGGATCATCCTCTATAGAAGATATTCATTGAGGTTGGTTTCACAGAGTATTCTAGAGAGATTAAATAACTCTCTGAATTAACTTACATTTATTATTATTTTTTATACTATATATGCTTATATCTCTCTGCCCCAAAAAGAACTGTTGCCAAAATCTACCTTCCACATTTACTAGATTTTGTTTGTTTTAGTTCTTAAGTCTGATGGAATTGATCTGTATTTATATATTCAGAAAGCTTTAAATTGAGAAGCTGCTGTTGTAAAACTGGACCAGATGAACTGCCAAACACTGGAAAATAGATGAGATCACAGAGAGAACAGCATTTCAGTGTTTCACAGTAAATGTTAAATATCAGAAATGATGATGCTTGATGATCAAAAATGCCACGGCTTCTGTATTGGGATCCCTGATTAACATAGAGACCGGTAGCATTCTTGTCTCTCCTGTATCAAAAAGCACAGGTGAGGAAAAGGTAAGTGGATATTGAATGATAGGAAAGAACGAAGACTGAGTAAAAGTTGGCCAGATAGTTACTGTTTGATTCAAAAATGATAGCGAGTAAAACGGATGTACATAGTATAGAGTACAACTTGAGCAAGGATGCAGACAACTTTTGTTTATGATGAGCAGCAATACATTTAAATTGATATTAGGAAATGCTTTTTATGAAATGCATAACTGCAAACTTGATCCACAGGATAGTATTGAGCCAGAGGCTTAGTAGGATTAAAAAATGAATTTTATATATATACATTTTATATATWTATGTATATATACACGTGCACACATGTATACGTGCACACACATGTATCAGAACATGTACAGATGCATCTGATCAGATAAAACAGATTATTTTGAAAGAATATAAGACCTCAAGCTTCACAGCAGACATGCAAAGCAGCACACTAGAAGTTGGAAGAAATTCCTGTTGGTGTCTTATAGACAGGAAATGAAGGAAGAATTTAGATTTATTTTTGTTGCCTTTAATATTAGACCCTTGCTCTGAAAACGCAGCAGCAGGCTGTTGGATTACATTGCAGAACCAAACGAAATGAAGATCTGAACTTGTGTGGACAATCATCTGTTTGGAAAATGATTTTTTTCCCCTCTGATGATGAAGTGAAACATCAAAATAAGGTCAATAGTGAGATGCCTGTGATGTATTTACTAGTGTGCATTATTACTTATCCAAGTAAATGTATTTATACGTTAAACAGTTATTACATAGCTTCTAAATCTGGCTTTTGTGTGTGTGTGTGAAATCACTAATAGATCCAAAACGGGCCCTGTTCTATTTTTGCTTCTGATCACAGACATCACTGAAACACTGTCTTSTTGTCTGTTTGTTTGTTTCTGTTTGAGGTCAGGAGCCGGCTGAGGATTCGTGTTGCTGTCACCCTACCTGGCTAATTGCTCAGCTCCTTTTCCGCCTCCCTTTGGGAGTGAAGCCTCCCTTTTGAGAGGGAGTAAGTGGAGCAGTTTCAGCTGCCTTGTGCCAGGGTGGGCTCACTGCTCTCCGTGGATCACACCTGTCCTAAAGGCCCGACCTCTGCCTCTCCAGTGCCTGTCTATGATTCAAGCTTGCAAGATGCTGTGCGCTTGCACTCCGTTCCTAGCTGCTTCCCAGCTGTTCCCCATGACATATTTTTCAACAAAACTAATTTAGCWGAATGCATGGTTTCCCATGCCTGGTATCTGATGATTTTATTAGTGTTTGTTTGTTTTTTCTTTGCTCATTCTTCTATAAAGGGTTTTGTTTGTTTGTTTGTTTGTTACTATTTTTCACTTGATCGTAAATGAAGGTAGTTCAGTGTGCCAATGGTTTTGCATATTTACTTGCAGGTTTTGCTCTAAAAGGGTTGTGGAGGTGGAGAAGTAGTTCCTAAAATGTCCGAAGCTCTTTGTTTGTGAATTCTTCAGAACACTACATCGTGCTCATTTGACCTGACATATTTTAAGACATATTTCATGAAATTAAGCTACATCAGTGCTAATGCCTATTTTTTGTTTGCAAATTTTAAATCAAGTGAAGAGTTTTCAGTCTGCAGTATTATGTCGCCTTCACATTTGCTGGTCCGCAGCCCTGTGGCTTCAGAAACGTGCCCCCCACTCCTTTTTTTTCTATAGAGCTATGGTATTAGCAAGTGTCACCCTTCTTAGAGTGTCTATCTAAATACTGATTATGGCTTTAGTTTTTAAGATACTTTATTGTCAAGTTGGTATGATGTTAATCTCAAAGGTTATTGATCTCTCTTTTTTTTTCTTTTTTTTGTTTGGTTTTGTTTTTTCCCCTCCTACCATTTTGAGGCTAGCTGTTTTTTTGTTTGGTTTTGTTTTGTTTTATGTGAGCACCAGGATAGCTATGTCTGTATTTGTTGCAAAGGCTGTTTTCTCAGCTGAGATTTAAGAAAAAAAAAAGAAAAAAAATTAAAATGCCTTGTACCAGGAGAAGCCATATTTAAAAGCTTACTGTTCAAGAAAGGGCATGAAAGTGTTTAATTTCTTAGGATGAGAGAGCATTCCCATCTAAATGTGACAAAGAACTAATCAACCTGATGCTGATTTCAGATTTGTCACCCGCTCTAGTATCCATCTGCACTCAGGGAAGGTAAGAGCACAGCAAAACTGAGGCAAGCCTGTGGGCACATGCTGTGTCCGCCAAGTTGCTCACTGATATTTGTAGGACTGCACGTGGGTGCCTGGTGGCCACAGGGGAATCTGTAACTCCTACAAATAGCTCACGTGCATGACCACATGTCTAGTGGAGTCTGATGTTTGTGGGTGCTTGGTATCAACGTTGCTGTGCCATGTAAGGRCAACACTGCTCCTTCATTACCTCAGCAGCCTCAGTTCTTGCTTTGTGGCCTGTATTATCTGTCCTTTGACTTTGAATGTCTCTGATTTTCCAGCTTTCTAACATCAAAAAAGGGAAGCAGAAAATGACTGTGCTAAAGAAGGAGTAACAAACGTGGAGATAAATGAATTGGGCTACTTATTTAGTTTTTTGCTTGTTGGTAATTTGTAGTTTAAAATATGGTAGACTTGAGATCTATGGGACAAGCACATTAGCAGAGACCTCCTAACTATGCTTTCCTACTCTGTAATCATTGTTTAATGACAGCAAGTCATCATCTGAATGAGAACATGTTGGTACATCTGCACTACCCATTCACATCAG